AAGTAGAGAAGGACCTGGTTTCACTTGGAATATCTAATTGGCGCAACGTAGCGAAAAGAAGAAACGACTGGCGCGCGGTTGTTAACTCGGCTATAATTGCGTAAGCGGTGACTATGACAATTAAGAAGAAGAAGATCAAAGGACAAAATTAATTTGCATTTTTATTTGACACTTCATCAATTTACAATAGTAACATCAATTATAAATATGCTAATCTAAAAACAAAACTAAGTAGTTCTGAAGATAGCGGTATACGACTTTAATGAGGTATTCGCTTGTATATGTTATCGAAACCAAGATTCATTAAGATTCATCAATTTCTCTTCAAGAAATCGTTTGCACGATATATGATTGGGACTGCGGACATAGGAGTGCTCAGAAAGATACATATATATCAATCAGTTCGTCTAGTAATCCAGCTCTCTTATGCCAATTAAAATGCCGTGATATAGACCTTGTTGTTACTTTATTTTGCTGCGGAAACCTTATTGTAGAAATGTTACGAATTTTTATTCGATTTTAGTTATTTTGCCTTTGGAGAAACTGAAAGAGAAGGACCAAGAAAAGCGCGTTTAAATATTTGAACACGATCAACCAATAGAAAACTAGTGAAAGCAATTAGTTATGTAATCACTCCAGTTTAAAGAGTGCATAGCTATGAGTGAAAGAAATTTGTTTTAAGACGGCGATGAAAGCAATTTATAACAGATTTTATGTACATTGTAATTGAGAATAACCACCTTTCTTTACATCTTTTCATTCGATTCGCTAAATTATGCAATAATTGGAAGTGAAAGTTTTTTTTATTGGGAGTTTAAAAACTACGACTTATATTTATGGATATAGTTTTTTAATAATGGAAATTATCAACGTAGCTGTGCTATCATTTAACTGCTTTCATTTCATATTTTCTCTTCGTAAAAGCTCTTCTCAGCACTTCTATTTCCGTTAGTATGCAAGCTCAACGGGAAAGCTAAAGCACACAAACTTTCTTCTGAAATGCAGAAACCACTCACAAATAGTTAGTGCGAAGTTTTAATTACATTAAGCAAGGCAAAATACTAGTAGTTGGTATACTTGAGAACATTACATTTAAAAGAGAGGGACGGTCACTTTATCAACACTGAAATAAAAGCTCTTTCGTATTTTTTTACTTTGCTACAAGTTGCACATAGTAAAATTATTTGAGCCAAAAAGCTCTTGGTGGCACTAAAACCAAAATGCGGTAACCTTATACTTACAGAAATAAAAAATATACATTAAGTACAATATATGCAGAAAGAATTTGCTGTTGGCACATTTCTCCACATCGAGAGAGAAAGAAGCGGCTTCGCTGTCAACGTATGTGAAACTGAAATGGTTTTATTTGTTAAAGTGTTTCTCCCCCTTTTCGAGGATTCACATCTTCAACCTGTTGACAAGGTGAAGAAGCTAGGCCTTTACTTCGATAGAAAGGTCAAATATTAAGGAGAGTAAGGGAAAAGATGAGGTTCAAGCCAACCCAATTATATTATGTTCTTTCAGGTAAACCCTATCCTGATATACGACTTTCCATATGACCCCTACAATATATAGTACATACATGTATTAGTCAATATGTGAGATAGATTATGAAAATTAACTGATTGGTTTTGGATATTCTGTATAACCTTATGCCGAACATCTCTGTGGTGGTTGTTTAAAAACTTGCTTGAAAGTATGTCCTCAAGTAGATCTCAGTAATGTCCCAATTAATTTGATCGGTCTGTTTCTTCCTCTACCCCACTTTTCAAATGACAATATTTGTGATACTTTAAAAAATTTATTGAAACAAGTTTTCTTAAGAATTATGTGGCTTTCCGCTGAATACTAATAATATTTGGGTAGACTTTGGTCAAAACCTTATATGCCTAATGCAATAAATTGCGATCCTCTGGATAATGTTTTTACATTAACTCATTATATTAAACTTAGCTTCTTCAGTTGAGTTTATATCACATATTTCTCATTTAAGGATCGATTTAATATTTTTTTATTCGACGCAAAGTAAAATATTGTAATAAAACAAAGTGAGTAGATACCTTTTATATGAGTAAATAATATACCAAATTTGATTGTCATCCATTCACGATTTCATTAAATAATGAATGCTAAATTCTGTCGCAACATTTAAATAACAAAGTGTTACCAACACCTGAATGTATTTAACCTTATACGAGTATAACTTACACACTGAACGACATACTTATTCGTCAAAAGATTTCCTAGAAAACCGAAAATCACCAATCACATGGAGTCAACCGAGTGATTGAAAATTCTGATATGTAGGTTACCTAGTTCAAGTTTTCACTCAAGGAAAGGACTTTCTCTCAATTTCAATTATATATCTCACACACTAACCAATACGGTCAAAAGTCAACACAGGTCCTTGACCTACTTTATACCTTGGTATCCTTTTTGAAAAATTTTTCGTCATAAGGTGGCACACTTCAAAGGCTTGACTCATATATAGTTTCATACCGTTATATTAAATAATGTTTTATATTTATACTGGAATGTGAAGGAATCAGATGGAATTTAAAATTGTCTTATATGGGGAGTAGGCGATGTTGTAGAATAAGAATATCAGAGGATTCTTGTATTATATTTAGTTGAAATCGGTCGAGGAAGTCCTCAGATATATGATTTCACCTAAATGCCATGCCCATCGTCCAATTTTGACACTATTCTATAATGCCTTCTCAAACCAAATAGAGCGCAATATTTATTTTCCCTGCCCGACGTCATTCACGCTCGCGTTTCATTGTGGGTGTTACAAACTTTGTGGCAACCCTAATCTATTCGGATATAAAAAACAGATCAGATTCTTAATTGTCGATAAATCAATATTCCACAGATACTTTTGCTATTTGTAGCCCCGGAGTTTGAGCAATAGCCATAGTCCAATGGACCTATTATCTTCTGCTTTAAATCTTCTTGTACTGTAATTTTTTTATTTTCGGTGCGACGGCTCCTCTTTTCTTAATTAACCACAACTTCTCAACATTGATGATCTTCGATTAAGCTGAAAGTATCTTTATCAAAAGAAAAAGCTTCATCAAATCAGAAAAAAATATAAATTATATTTACAAACAAGTAAGGAAGAGATAACTTTGGGTATAACGGAACATTTTATTTCCTTGCAACTTGTCAGAATCGAAGACCGGGAAATAGCTTTAGGTGCATAAGCCTTGTTAGTTAAATTGCATATAAGACAAGTTTTCACCCGATGTTGTCCATTTTTTACATAAACTTGAAACGTTATTAGAAAAATAAGTTTTATCGATTTCATTAACATAATCATATTCGTTACAAAGTCAAAAGGAAGTTCAAACTTTTCATTAGGTAAATGGGGGCTAAGGGTATTAATCGATTCAAGTAATTTTTGACATACATGACTACTATTATTAGAAGAAGATTCTATCTGAATTTACAGGGTTTGTGCGGAAAGTAATAGGACTGATTTCCTTCCACTGCGACTGTATTCGGAACGTGCGCGCATCGACTGGATTCGGTAGAGGGCGTTAATAGCTAACGGGCGGCTGGTCAGTTTCGCGCGACGTGTTTCTATGAGTGGTGCATGCCGAAAATTCAGCGTTGCTTAGAAAATATTTACGCGACTAAATACTGTATGAAACTCGGTAAATCTGTGACAGAGACGTTTAATATGATCTCAGGCAGGCTTACTCACCTGTTGCTTTAGCAAGAAATGGTGTGTTTCGGTGGCACCAAGTCTTTTTGGAGGGCCGGGAAGAGGTCGCTGATGAATAAGCAAATGCAAAGTGAAAACGATGCTCATTGCCTTTTTTGACATCAAAGGTATCATCCACCATGAATCTTTTGCTCCTGCACAAGGCATCAAGGCCAAGTTTGACATGGAAGTCCTCAAGAGGCTCAAACTAAGGGTCAATCGGGTCCGATAAAATAGCGCGGCACCATGACAACACTTCCGCAGACGTCCTACAGCTCAAATGTGATCCCGCCTTTTTTGTTTCCTTGCCAGAATGGCCGGGTCTCAAGGCTTTTCCGGAGAATGCCTTCCGTGACGCCTTCAATGCTTCGAAACCGCGCTGGCAGCGCTGCATCCACCGAATGAGCAGATTTTGGAAGTTTTTAAAGAATTGTAACGATTGGTTCAATAAGTTTTCTTTAAACGACTCAGTCCTATTACTTTACAGACAAACGCTGTATATCTCCCAGTTTGACCAATATGGTCGATAGCAAGTTCGCAATTCGAACTTTGATCCAAACTTGTCCTCATTTTTTTGCCAAGGAATACATGTACCAAGATCTGTTATTGTAGCATTGTTTTAACCCAAGTATTCGCTTGCACGGACAAACAGCCGGATGAACAGACAGTCACGCGGATTCCAACTCGTCTCTTCATCTCTATCATTTATATGTGTACCTAACTCGATTACTTTCAGGTGAAAAAACAGTAACACTCTGTAGCAACATATCATAAATATCGCTCAAACTCGTCGATGTTAAGTATTTATTCAATGAACTTTATTTATGCGGTTTCAATGCAAACAGAAGTGCTTAAGAGTTAAGCTAATGGTAACTTACATGAATCTGCAAATAATAGTGATTTAATGACATTCTTTCTGGCTGTAATTGTGTTAAGGCGAATTTGCAGATTGACCTGTTGCAAATAACTGACAACGAAAACTCGAGCAATAAAGCCATAAAGGTTTTATTCTGAAATGACTAACGGAACCTGACCTCAATTTAATTATGCATGGCAGTCATTAAACTGTAAGTTGCATACCATATAATATAAATGTAAATTAATTACTGCCTAATGGGTTAGTAATAACAATAATCGACTTTTAAGCGGTGACTACAATGTTACTGATTGATTGGCAAGTGCAAGTGGAGACCGTGGCCCCTGGGCGTCTCCATTTTTTTTGCAAAGTATTAAAATAAATAAGATTATTTGTGTATGTATTTTTATGAAATAAATATTATTCGATTTTATTTATTATTTTTTTGTGAATTTTTCAGTTTTGCATTTTTGCATTTGCTTTTGCTTTTCATTTGTTTTGTTTTTGGTATCGCATAGTTTTCACTAACTAAAAACTAAGTACTCGACTACAAATAAATATTTATAAATATAAAGTTTTATAAATTAACTAAAATTTAGTCATTCTTATGTTGATCAATAGAAAAATATGGAAATATGAAAAATGATCAACTTTCATAGTATTCAATAATAGGATAGGGATAGGAAGAGGAAGAGGAGGAGGAGATGTGTAAATCTAGTTAAAAGTAGTCTAGCGGCGGGTTGTGCCGTTGTCGATTCAGTTGTGCTGTTATAGCCATTTAGAAGGGTTGAGCCAAGCCATATTGGTTGTAGGCCAAGTCAGAGGCAGCAGCTTGACCATTGCGGTTCCAGTCGGAGTGCACGATCTCAGCGTTCAATGGGCTGCCAGTGATGTAAGCGGTGGTAATGTGTTCCTTCTTCTTGCCCAACAAGTCCTTGAAGAAAGTGGCGCCTATTTTAAAATGACAAGTACAAAAGTTTAGTGGGGAATGGCAAGCTCAGCAGGTCGAATTTTAAAATGCTACGCACCAGCAAGGATCAGAGCCAAAATAGAGATGGCCAAACTCTTGAGGGAGATAAATTTGACGATGCTGAAAGCAATCTTGCAGAGCACAGCCTTCTTCAACTTCAAGATCAGGAGCAGAGGTAAAAGCATCTTCTTCATTTTCTTGCTGCGGGATTCTGCAATGAAAAGTTTCGGTTAGCTAATGTTGCGGCTAGTTTAAACTTACGTCACATTAATATAGGCAAATGGAATGCTAATTTGTCTATAACAAAAAGCAATACTAACTTTGAAGTTTTTTGGGTTAAAAAAGTTGTAATATACGTATCATAAACACTAATTGTGACAAATCAAAATCATTTTGGAATTGCCATCTTCCGATCGCCTGAAGCTATGCTATACTACTAAAGTTTTGCTACAAAACTTGAGCGATAATGATGTGCTGCAAACGAGCCCATACGCTGGATGCCCTTAAATGTGAGAGGCAACAATTCTCCACTTACATTGTAATATTATGTGGAAAGTCGGTTAATGGCATTGAAGTTTAATTTGGGTTACACTTTAGGAATTATTCTGCGAAACTAGCGAAAAGTTTGGCAGTAGTAGTTGCAGAACCTGTATGCGGATTAAAGCGAGTGTTTGCTGAAATTGTGGTTCCCAAGAGAATCCTAAAAGTATGCAAACAGCTAATGCACCGGAGCACACACAACCGCGACCCACTCAACTCTGGTAATAAGAAAACTGCGGAAGTTTCTGAGCATGACGACACAGTGGTGGCTTTTGTTGGCGATATAAAAATAAGCAATGACTTTCTACATTGTTAGCACCTAATTTCGAAGAAACTTTCTGCTGCTTTACCGACTACTGAGGTGCGCTAGTTAGGTGGAGGCGCGAATAGCAGAGTATGAGTTGTTAGGTGGAGTAAGATAAGAAAATGGTAAAAAGTTTTTGAAATTTTCAACAGCTTAAGTTAGTTAAGAACGAATTTGAAGCTTACGCCGGGCTTAGTTTGCTATTTTGGTCTGGAATAACGTTGGTTGGATAAAATTAGCGGCAATTCAAAGTTAAGAGACATTTCCTTTGCCATGCATATGTAGTACTTATAACTACGGCAGGCATGTTCTGCTTTCATCTAATAATAAAAGCGCAGTTCGGAATACGTTTGATTGAGTTACGTGTTGTTTCCATTGTAATGGTATAAAGCCTTGGTTAATTCTCGAAAACAATATTTTTAATGACACCATCGTGCTTTTGGAGTGATTCTAATGTGCAACTTTGTTGCCACAAACTGTTGCAAGTCAACACAGCATAAAGCTTACATTTTATATGAAGCATGTACAACGCCGTTGGTTCATTTTGTTGCATGCTTTATAGCTTAAGTTTCACCTTTGCTCTACTCGTGCTTTTACCAAGAAATTCTGGTTTTTGCCAAAGTTTTGTTGTAGAGAAGGAGCAATGTTTTCCTTGGAAATTTAAAGTAGTACAGGACTTTGAAGATTTTTTGCATCACTTTAGAAATTGATGAATGTATTAAATATAAGGGAATACATTTCGTCCACTGTAAGATGTGGTAACTGATATCGTACACTCGTTGGATTGTATATGTGATCGAGCCACAGCCGTAAATGTTTATAAAGCTACCAATAAATCAAATATTTCCTTTATGAATTTCGCGTTGATGACTTGAAGTTCATGCGCCGTGAAGCACACTACAGCGCCGACTTATTAACGAAGCAACGCTTTGCCTGGCAAAACAAAAGTATAACGCGCCACAACTCGCCAAAGTTGTGCATATTACGCCAAAGACGGCTGCTCCTTTGGTGTGAAGAAAGGTTTGAGTTTGTTTGCAGAACTGAGGAAGGGAATGTTTAGTTGAGCAAGGAAAAGTATTCTGGAAAACCGCAAAAATGAAATATGTTGTATATACCATGCGTTGGACTTATTTTCGCTGTCAAAAGACTGGTGTTGAAGAGTTGAAAGCAATCGTGTCCTAATAGCACATTAAATAAATGTACGGAACTTTTCGTAATATGCCACAAAGGGGTAAACGTTCACATCCCAACATTGCTGGCGAAAGTTTTATAAGTATTAACAGGCATAAGTGAAAATTTGACGGCTTGTCAGCATAATAAAAAGGTTTCTAGGGCGTTTATAGCGCAACCACGACTTCTCAGTAGTGCTATAAATATTGCTCACAAATTTTGTGATGTTGCTTCCCAGCAGTACTAAGGTCTAGCTCAACACATGCCTTATAATATAATATAATATTATAATTTAGTTGGGTTAATAAATGATGAATTCCTCAGCTAATTGTTCCCGAGAAACTATGCTCAAAGAATCACATAAAAAAGCAGAGGAAAACGTGAGCTTCTGTGCAGAAATTGATTTGCTTAGCGGCGCTGCTTTGGAATAGTAGGGAGAGAATAAAAAATGAGCAATATGCACTAAATAACGGTATTTCATTTTATCATTACTTGCTCAGCTCGAAGATTACAAAGGTCTTTGTGCTTTTTAGATTGCCAACACAAGCCACACACACGCACGTATGTGTTTGGAAATGTACGAGTATATGCGTGCAGGTTAATGCCATTTGTGCAGCAACAATTGCATTTTGATCACACTAACTTCAACTGCCAATCGCAGACAGAAGAGTCTTTGGCCGGTTCTTGTGTTGTTTTTGTTGTCTGCTGAGGTCTTGCATACGCTCCATTTTCTAGCTGCCTGTCGTCGCTGTGCATGTAGAACAGCATTGGCACTCGGCATTGCAGTAACGTCAAGCCGTACATGCCGGCTATAATTACCGTTACAATTATTACTCAATTAAGGTGATGTCGAAGTTCAGCGTATAAAAGTTATTGTGAAAAGTTTTTTTTATTGGAAATGGTGCCACAGTGGTGAATGAACCTGTTGTGCCACGGCTAGTAGGCGACATTTATAGCGGTTTGCGAATTGCTTCTTGCTGCCATTGATTTATGACACTGCAGTGGTAACGTGCCACCGACTTCGAGTTTATACTTGTATTTATGTTGCCATTAGTTTCGGCCAGCGATATAATTGACGCAGAAGGTATGGGTGCAACAAAGTAATGGTTGTAATTACTTGAAAAAGTGGTGCATGTTGTAAAGTATGCATGAAAAGTGAAATATGACAAAATTAATATGTGAAATAATTGAAAAGAAGAAAAGCAATCAAATAGTTGAATATTAAAAAAAAATTTAAAATTTGTAAACTCAATTTAAATAAGTAGAACATAATTATCCTGTCAATAAACAGCACGACACTTTTCACAAATATTTTAAAATGAATTATATTCTAAACCTAAGCTTTTGGGCAATTATCACATTTGATTGCGTTTAAGCTCTGGACTAATAACTGTTATGAATTATTATATTTGAGTGAGCAATAAACTCTTTTTTGTTTAGTTCGAATAACTGACGTATTAACTGTTCAACTCCAAAACTGTTTTATGATACGAAATTTCGCCACAAAATTAGCCTTCTTTCACTTTTTGATATTATTTGCACTCCACAACTTTTTAATTTTATTTTTTTTTTTTTCTTCTTACCCTCCATGGCACGGCCGGCGTATTCGTTTTCGGCTTCCTCATCCTCATCGCCGGGCAGACCGAAGTTCAATTCGTGTGTAGCTAGATAACGTTCGACGCGTTCATCAACCGATTCAACACCCTTGACGGAGGCACCGAATGAGCGACCAGTTTCCGAGCGTTCTACACGCAGACCACCGAAGAGTGGGAGAGAGTCGGCACTGTCGATTCTATTGATCAAACCAATGACGTCCTTTTCGCTGTTATCCAGCTGTTGCAGTGAGGGTAGAGCGGCAGCGATGCAGGCGTAGGACGCGATGAGTACGGCACAAACGAATTTTGAACACATTTTGTTTTGATTATTAGATTTCTTGTTAATTAATTTAACTAATTAATCCGTTTTTGTTGTGGGTTGATCACACAGTACACACCGTTTGAAGGTTGAAATTGTTTTGTGATTGATTAAGTGCCAAGCACGAGTATTTATACGAGGTGAATCTATAAAATCGGAATGCAGTTAATCGTATTGCGGTGTATTGAGTTGTGGCGTAATGAAATGTCGCAGCTTAACGCGCTTAGGCAATTCGTAGCCGAAAAAGTTCCAACTCTTTCCAATTCCTATTTTGTCAACTAGAAATCGGAAAGAAAGAAAATATGCAAACGCCAAAATACGCAACCAATAATATCACGTACACATGTACGAACACACACATATTGGTGCAGGTTAGAGGCAGCCAGCAACTGGCGGACGGTTTGTGGTATCAGAGTCAAGCGTCAGGTACGCGACGTTGCATTTCAAATAAGCAATATAAAAATTGCCATTAGTACTATGCCTTGTTGCTGCTATCACTACAGTGATTACTACGCAATGCTGATTGCCTTAACCGCTGACCGCAGCCCACTGCCCGTCCGCTAACCGTTCGATTTTTGATTTTTGGACGCACTGTCCGTTGCTTGCCTTCGATTTTTCGACATACATTTGCAAACCGAACAAATTTTTTGCCCATAATTTCATGGTTGCCAGTAACAGCAACAACCACAGCAATATCAACACTTCGAGTATAAGACTCGCTGCCTTCGAGCGCCAAAATCGACGTCTCAGTGGTTGCCTTATTTTCCTTTCTTTCGACACTTCGGCAACTTCTCTCGGTTATTTGTCACGTTGCTGGCTTTTGATTGTTGCTGCACCTGGCACCCAAACGAAAGGGAAGTCGCCAACACTTAGCCATGACAGTGGCAAGTTAGCATCAAAATGTTAGATAGAAGAAAAATACGAATATAAGTAATTTGTAAAACTATATTTCGATAGCAATTGTCCTATTTGAGCGAAATTGTTGTTGCATTTATATTATCATTAATATGCGTCACGCATGTCTGGACGTATGTGTGTCACGCGCATATTCCGCTGCAAGCCCATGTACGTGATTTTATTCAATTATGACTGCTGGGCACTGGCCGCAGCCGCTAGCCACAAATATGAACTCGTGCACATATAGAGAAACAGCGTAGTCGATTATCTGTTCCAAATTCTTTTCATAAATTTATGCGTCGACTATCACCCACAAGCGCAAACGCACACCCAAGCACCGCATACGAAGCACACAGTCATACGAGTAACTGAATTAATTCCATCATTGGTTTCTATGAAAGTCAGCAGTTTATTAGCATTTCGCTGGTGTTCCGTAATGGCAATTGTAAATACAATCGCAAATGTGTGTCTGTGTGTGTGCTACGTGTAGCTACGCACAAATTATTCTATTAGTCGTTGTTAAATGGTACTTGTGAACCACTTTGTCCACCACTAACACACGTTAGATTTAGCAGTATTTTGCTCAGCCCGTTCACTAGTTCGGCACACAGCTAACGCCGGCCCCACCCACTCGTCTTTTGGGTTAATTGACATTCTATTGCAATCGGCTTTATGTGATTTTATGGCGTTCATTTAGTCTCAATGGCCCAGATTCTTTCCTTTTCTAGCATTCGTTTGCTTTCGATTTCAATAAAATTTCTTTTTCGGTTCGTTTCGCGTCGCTCGCTTCTTCTTCTTGCAATTTTACATCATATACATTTTTCTGCCGGCTTTTTTCTATAAAACACTGACCGCTACTGATCCTGAGTAATAATAAAGAAAAATCAAAACATGTCTAGCAGTCGACATGGTATTAATCTAAGCCGGAGTGCTTTGTAATATTACCTCTATTTTGTGCACTTGATAAATTCAATTTATATTTATTGAGTAAGAAGCTTTATGTTGTTTCTTTCTTATTGCAATCTTGATATATTACTTAAAATGTGCTCTGAATACCATTCTATTTTACATACTAAAAAATAATACAATAATACAATTAACAAAAGTTAAAATGGCAGAAAAAGTAGATTACATTAGGGAAAATATATATTTAAGGTGTAGTCTTATTTATGAACCCAGTAAAATGTGATACAAAATATTCTTCTTTTATTGCAACCCCATTTTAGATGACCTCACTATAAATAATCCAAACAATTAAACCTTATCAAAGGACGAGAGAAAAATTTAAATTTACATATATCTCAAAAATTTAGAGATTTAGTATATACACAGACAAACAGACATCCAACAGATAGACGGATCTGGCTAAATTGTCTCAACACATCTCGCTGTTAATTTTTATATACATATACAATGTATATGTACATTTATAGATACATGTATATGTACTATTATACAATTATAGGTCTTACAAGCTTCGTTTTCTCTGTTCAGGGTATAACAACATCATTCTGAGCCAGACGGACATTACTAAACCGACTTTTCCTTCTGGGTGTTACAGACTTATTAATAACCCGATAACGACAATTAAAGAAAACAATGGCAACCACCCTTGAATTTTGATCGACTTTGTCGTAATATTTTCGGTTCGCTTCGGTTTCGCTAGATTTGTTTCGATGTCGTAATCATAAACTCACTTTATCGCACCAGTAATAATAAGCTTGATAAATATAGGTTTTTCAGTTACGTTGTCAAGCAACGTTAACCGAAAAGGTTTAGTTAATCCATAAGAGACGTTGCAATCCAACACACCATTTTTCAAGAACTGTTTCTTCAACTTTTTCTATGATATCATTTTTAACAAGCTACGATTCAGAGACAAGTTTCCCATTGGAAACAAAAATTTTGGAGAATTCCCGTTGTTACATTTTTTTCTATGGTAAGAATCGTTAGACAAACTACTACTGTGATAACTCTCTGGCAGAGGTACGTATGTATGTTGAGTAGGCTGATCTAAACGAATAGTACAATTTAATAAAAGTAAACAGTAAATGCAGCGAAATGAACAGGAATATTATAGGCAATGAAACTGTGTCTTACATTCGATTCTACACATATTATCTGTTACTACACCAGTATTCTACTTTTATGATTTTTCTATTAATTTATACCACGATGTGGTGTAAATAATGCGAATGTGAAATGTCAGATCTTTAAACATGGATCCCTGTTTGATAGAATCGGCATTCGATTTTCTATTTATAAGCAAAATAATTGTACTTCCTGAAAGCCATCTATCGCTAGGCTTTGTGAGGTCTGAAATTTAGAATCTTCAAATAAAGCAAGGCCTCGCTTAATAACTTTCCAGAGTCTCTCCTAGAATAAGGGAAATATAAAACATTCAACAGAAATTGTTACAGTTGAGATGCAACAGTGAGGAAACGGTCAATCACTCTGTAACGGGGCAGGTCTTACAGCAGACCGAGACCACTGAATAAAGGAAAACTTCGAATTTATGTACCAATATGCTATTTGCTCTTGAGTTCATATAAATCGATATCAAAATAGGTTCATGAACTCGCGAACAACAATTTTTTCAACACAAACTTCTTAATTTTTTTTTTATAGACATTAAATTTTTTCGAATATGGGTTACTGTAGCCTCGAAATGAAATTTTGAATGGCCAAAAGTTCTATAATTCTGCACTCAATTAACAGGGAATTTGAATCAGATCCAGGTATGGACGTAATTGGAAAAATTGATAGTAATACAAGCCGTCATTTCATAACAGCCTCAAGTAAATATGTAAGATCCACAAATAGTTGGCATTCCACAATTTTATTTAATATGCGATTCGTTTTGCCCACACTGTTCTCATTTCGAAATCTGTTTGTTTTACATCTTCGGCAAATACTTTAGACTCATTCAGGTGGTTTTCCATTAACTTTACCAACAACAAATACTTTCTTTTCTTCAACGCATATAAGCAGCCATATTATGTTCACACTCGTACATTGTACAAATTGAAAAAAAAAAAAAAAAATTATTTGCACGTAGGTACATATACATATATGTATTATATGCACCACGTATGTTGCACTTGTTGTACACATTCACTTCAACTTTGTCAGAATATATGTACATTGGGACAAAAACGCGTCCCTAAATTATACTTAAATTCCTTGGGTAAATGATTCTACTGTGATCAAATTGAAAGATGAAATTTTAATTTATACTTTGCGTGTTTTTAGAATCGGTAAATTTTTTTCTGTAAGTGGTTAATGCACTTAGTGACATTAGTAATTGAGATATGCGTCGTTCTGTGCGGCTTTAAAAGTCTGAATTTGAATTTATTGAACAAAGAAAAGTGATAATGCACCATCTCATACTGCATTGGTTATTCGTGATCTTTACGCCACATTTTCAACTAATGTAGTACCGGAACCCTTATTCGCTGATTTACATTCGTGTAACTTCTGGCTATTCAGCAAATTCACATGACCACTCCGAGGACACCGTTTTGACTCAATTCAGAATATAAAAGCTGAATCGAAAAAGGCTGTGATGACCAACACGATGGAGGGTTTTTTTAAGTGCTGTGATGACTGGAAAATGCGTTGGCATAAGTGTATTAGAGAGGGAGGGGATTATTTTGAAGGAATGAAATGAACAAAATTCATCTTCCTATTCGATCACAGTAGAATTTCAAAAAATGGATTTTGCTAAATTGGTAAGAATGTCCTCAATTTTATGCCAAACATGAACTAGTTCGCTCTCAGCAGCTGTTTAAATCGATACAACTCAGTAGTGTGTTGCCATTTTTACACTGGATAAAAATATCGTACAAAGAAATCGTCATAAATTTTGTATTTATAACCACACTTCGAGTGAGGAATCCTTGCGAATGTTGGAAAAGGCAAGCGATGATTAAAAAAACAAAGCCTTCAAAGACTGTCGATATATCGTTGAAGACCTGTCTCTTTCTGGATGACCTTCGACCTCTTCAAATAATAAAAATAATCAAACAGTAACGGATATGGGGCCTGGAAGTGTTAGAGAGAGAATCCCATTATCATGAAGAAGATTGTTACTGCCGATGAGACATGGGTTTATGAGTTTGAGATGCAAACACCTCAACAATCATCGGAATGGAGGGAAGGAAATGAGGCGAAACCAAAAACCACATCAAAGCGCTCAAAACTGCTTATTG